TTTTTTTTTTTTTTTTCTCTTTTGGTACCAGGGATTGATCTTGGGACCTTGTGCTTACGAGGCAGGTGGCGGAACCACTGAGCTAAATCCTCTGCACTGGCCTTGTTTTTGATCTTGGAAGCATAGCACTTAGATTTTCACAGTAAATACAATGCTAGATATAGGTATTTCATTGATAAACCTTTATTAGTGCTTTCTATTTGGTTGAGGACACTCTTATTCTTAGTTTGCTAAGCCTTCTTAATGAATTGTGTTGAATTTTCTCAGGTGCTTTTCTGCCTCTACTGAGTTGATCATTTATTTCAGCTCTATTTCTTAATATTGATTGGTGTTAAAATACAAGCTATCTTTAATTTTTGAGATAAACCCCACTAGGTCTTAATGCATTATCCTTTTCATATATTGTTGGATTGATTATCTAAAATTTCATTTTTTTTTGTATCTGTGTTCATGAAGAATATTGGTATGCCATTTTCTTATAATATCTTCAGTTTTGGTATCAAGGTAATAATAGCCTTAAATGTAAGTTGAAAATGTTTCTGCTGCTTTTGTTTTCTGGGAGAATTTGTTTAGAATTGGTTTTATTTCTTCCGTAAGTACTTGGTGTAATTCACTAGTGAAACCGTTTGGGTTTGGAGTGATCTTTTGAGAGATAAGGTGGGGAGGTTTTAAATTACAAATTCAATTTTATCTATTGATACAGGACTATTCAGGTTACTCTTTCTCCTTTCCTTCCTCCTCCTTGCTTTCTTCTTTCTTTTCTTCCTCTTCCTCCTTCCCCCTGTTCCTCATCCTCATCTTCCTTTCTCCTCTTTGAGACAGCATCTCACTTTGTAGTGCAGACTGACCTTCAGCTGGCTAACTTGCAATCCTCTTGCCTCAGCCTCCCAAATTCTGGGATTACAGGTATGTGTCACCACATCCCAGCTTCTATTTCTGCTTGAGTAAACTTTGGTATGTTGTGACCATCACAGAATTTGTTCATTTCATTAAACTTTAAGTATTTCTAATATTTGTAGTGGTAGTCCTCCTTTAATTCTGACTTTGATTGTTCTCTTTCCTGGCCAACCTAACTGGAGTTTCATTCATTTTATTGATCTTTCTGAAGAACCTATTTTTGACCATATTGAAATTTCTTTGTTTTTCTGTTTTTTATTTCATTGATTTATTTCCTTAGCTTTACTATAACTCTTTCTTCTGCTGCTTTTGCATTTAATTTGCTTCCCCTCTGGATTCTAGATAGAAGTTATGAGCAGGAATCAGAAAACAGCAATCCAGGGACCAAATATGTATAGCATGCTGTTTTTGAATGGGCTATGAACAAGGAATGATTTTCACATTTTTTAAATGGTTGAAAAAAAATCAAAAGAATATTTTGTGACATGTGGAATAAATGAAATTCAGATTTTAATGTCTATAAATAAAATTTTATTGGAATATTGTATAGCCACAGTTAATTGTTTACATATTGTCCATGGCTGCTTTTGGGTTAGAATGGCAGAGTTGAGTAGTTGTGTCAGGGACTTGTGGCATTCTCATTGCTGTGCATTGCTGCTTGGTGCATTGTAATCAGTGTTTCAAGTGCCTACTAATACCATACATTTTGCTTTATTTTTTGTCATGCATACCCATTGTGTCAAAACAAGAAAAGATGAAAAAGTCTTGGAATGTTAATACCTTTAAAGCACGGTGAATTGTGGATTAGTAGATAACAAAACATTTTATTATGCAGTGACATTATAATTGTGCTGAAGGGAAATACAAGATATATTCATGTTACCAGTCTAAGAATTCATCACAGTATTCCCAACTCACAAGAAAGTAATGGTTAGAAGAATTAGAAAACACATCTTAATCGAGTAGAGGTTCTTCACGGAATTAAAAAACGAAAATGAGGTAGCACCTAGAGTGGCTCGTTTGTTAGCCAAGCAAGGGAATCATTTACCAATAGTGAGTTAACTAAATCATTTTGGATTGCAGAAGGCACAGAATTGTGTCTGGAGAAAATAAATTTTTAAAAATAAGTATTAGCCTTTTGGCATGAACAGTTTCATGAAGAGTTGAGGACATCATTAATCAATTACAAAACAAAACAAATGATTTTGAGTGGTTTTCCTCGGCTCTTGATGAGTTGGCGGATGTTACCAGTACTGCTCAGTTGTTGTTTATTCAAGATGTCAATGCTGAGTTTGAAGCTGTTGAAGAATTAGTCCTAATGAATACTGTGTGTGGAACAACTGCAGACATGAATATTTTCAAAAAAATTAAGCAAACACTAGTTCTGTCCAACCTGAAGTAGAATCTGCCAAGATGTGTTAGAACCAATAAGGGTAAAAATTGTACAGAACAGAAATAAGTTAATAAAGCTGTGAAAATATGCATAAGATATTTAAAATTAATGATCACTCACTGTTATTTCTTAGGCATTTTGCATATAACATTTGAATTATGTGATAAGGAACTAGAAATGTTAGCATTTGCTCTTGTGGACCTAGCCATTGCTAGTTCCATGAATTTTTGTCAGAAATAGAAACTGAATACAGTATCCTCTCCAGACATCAGTTTGATGGCTTAGTAGTAGAAAAGCTTTATTGTAAACTTTTGAGCTTAGCGCTGAAATTGAAATTTTTCTGAATGAGAAGAACTGCTCTAAATAGCTATTATTGAAAGCTGAATGGTTTTAGAAATCATTTTTTTGCTGTAGACTCAATAATGTTTCTTAATGCAATATAAAATTACCAGACAAAACAGTGCTTTTATTGAAAGGAATACTGTTATTTTAGTGTCAACTGATGTTTGAATAACACGTAATATCAAGCTATTTTACATAGCTTTTCCCTACTTCAAAAGTTAAAGAAGTGAGATCTCCATTCCCACCCAGTTACTGTAGATTAATTTTCAGATCTAAAGCTAGTTTCAGCAGTATTTTACAGACATTGATGGAAGTGTAAAGGAAATTTCCATATAACAAAATCCATTTAACTCAGTCCAGTTCCTTTTACTTATCCTTTAATTGAAAGTGACTAATCTGCAAACAAATGACAAGAAAAAAGGCAAATACGAAGAGAAGAATAAATTCTTTCATTGCCTCCCAGTGAATATACTGAATAGAAATTAGTATGTGGCAGTGTCTGATACTTTTTGAAAAAAGACATTTTCAAAGATGAGATATGTAATATCTAATTAAAGATCAGTACTAATATATGAACATTTGTGATTGATTTTAATGGTAGGGAACACTAATTTTGAATTTTAAGTGAAATATTAGCCCTAAAAACAGTTTTGTTCTTTTCATTGGGAAACCTGTCTTAAAGAAAGCTATATTCAGTTGTTACCACTATAGTATTATGAATTTCATCAATAAAAATTAAGGAAATTTTTCTCATATAAGTACTTGCAGCATATTCTCTGTTTTGTTTGCTAGTTCGCGAAACCTTATTTACTGGTCTGGCCCTTTATAGAAAAAATTTGCTGACCATTTCTGTACATCAGGGCATTTTTATCCTGCATAGTGGTTTACCTACACTTAGCAGAATTAGTGCTAGTTTTGTCTCACAGTGATTTTTGGAGAAAATTATTTATGGAGCAGTTTTGTTTCTACTGGATGTATTAATTACAGCCTGTTACTGTAATAAAATCTTATTCATGTTAATGTTGTAAATTTGAAGAAGAGGCTTTCTGTGATTGTCCTGAATTTTGTGGCTATATGAATCTCCCGAAACACTGACATTTCTTATTGTGTACCAGTAGAGTACTGTTTGCTGCAAGTGTGAGTCGCAAGTAACATAATACTGCCTTCATGGAACTTAACAGTTGCATAAGTGTATGTAATATGCTAAAATACAGTTATTTCAGGAATGTCTGGAGTCAGTTGAAATGCATAGAACCAGTTATGATTAATTTTGAGGAGGAATTCTTGAAGCTCTTAAGAATATATGTGATATGGGCCAGGGATTTAGCTCAGTGGTTCTGCCGCCTGCCTTGCAAACACAAGGTCCCAAGTTCGATCCCCGGTACCCAAAAAAACCCAATATATGTGATATTCAGAGTCAGGAAGGAGGCAGGCTACCCAAATCAAAATTTAATTCCCTCAGGAAGGCATTAAGAAATACTTTCATTTTTCTACTACATATATTCATTGGTTTACTATTCCAGGAAGAGGGCAATTTGGACTCTTTCCCAGGATATCATCTTCTCTATCATTGGCCTTCCTATTTTTGTAGTCTTGGGAGGAAATTATCTTTGTACAGAATCTTTGAATGATTCTAAGGGACTTTTGGAAAGTCTGGAGAAAAGCTAGAACTACTGGCCTGATGGTTTTTGGTGGAAATCAGAGGTTCATACAGTATTCTTCCTAGCATCTTGTAGAAAGGAAAGATTAATGATAGTTATTTGCACAGCCAGAAGATTACAAGTTGAGGTTCAGGGAGGACTCAAGTAGTTTAACGCATAGATTTTTACTTAGATTTCAATTATATGGGGCAATTACATTCATATAAATGATGAATGGATGGCTGTAGGCTGTTCTTCAAAATATGTTCCTTAAGTATGACCTTTTATTCTCAGGACAAAAAAAAAATCTTGCTGAAAATTAATTTTTGTGATTTTAGCTGACATCAGTGGAAACTATAGCATATTTGTTTATTTATATGATATTCATATATCTCTATATTGTTAGGAATAAATTGATTAGAACAAAGCCAATTCATTTTTACTATTATTGCAGCTTGTAATTATAAATGAGTGAGGAATACTGGTGTCAAATTCATTGATGTATAAATAAATAAATAGTTTAGAGCTGCTTTCCCTAATATCTCCTTGGGTGTTCTTTTGTGATCTACTTTGTACTTCCAAAATTGGAAACATGGTTCAGTATTATAAGATAACCTCAAAGAAGGAAAGGTAACTATTTTGACTTTCAAAATAGCTTTAAGCAGATATTTTAAAAAAATATTTTAAAGTCGGTGCTAAAATTTTTTAAAACTCATTGTTTTGTTTAGGTCTCTGAAAGATGAACTTGGCTGAAATTTGTGACAATGCAAAGAAAGGAAGAGAATATGCTCTTCTGGGAAATTATGACTCATCAATGGTGTATTACCAGGGAGTGATACAACAGATTCAGAGACATTGCCAGTCAGTGAGAGATCCAGCTATCAAAGGCAAATGGCATCAGGTAAGCTCACATTAGTGATGAAGACAGCAGCAGTCTATTATACTTGAGAGATTGGAGTTACAAAGTTAGTTTGAGATTTTGTAAATAGTTCTTATTTGTCTGAATGCTGAAATATATTTCAAATGTATTCTGAATAATTTTCTAATGTCTTCATTAGTTAATATTTTGTATATTTTTGATCATATCTTCAGTGAAGTATATTTTGTAGGTGTTTAATTTGAATTGAACCTATTTTTAGTGTTTTGAAATATAATCAGTTTCCTAACTAACTGTAAAGTTTTGAAATAGCGTATTTCTTTTTTTTTTGGTACCAGGGATCGAACTTGGGACCTTGCACTTGTGAGGCAGGTGAAGGAACCACTGAGCTAAATCCCCGGCCCCAAAATAGTGTATTTCTACTTGCCATTTCTTCTTTATTTTTTTACATGTAGTTTTGGCCCATTCATGAAGCTTTTTTTTTTTTTCTTTTTTGCAAGGCTCTGTACAAATACAAATGAGTCAGTAATCTAATAAAAAACATTAATATATTTGCTGTCTTCTGACCTTACTTGAATATATATAGTAGTACAGTTAATAACTTGAATTATAATTTCCTCAATTATTTTTAAAACTTAAAATCTTTTAAAAATTAAAATACAAAGTCAAAGGATTGCTTTGAAGTTTCCATTTAATGTGTTAATGCCTTTCAAGTATTTCTTCTAATTTTTCCAGAAATTAGTGTTTTACCAAGTTTTGAGGGTAAATTCGGCTTATTTCCCAGCTTGTGTTACCAAACGAGAATGAGAACACCATACTTGCTCTAAGTCAGATTGAAATTTTTACTTCTTCTATTATTTGTACTACCCATAGGCAGAAGTGTGTGTGTGAAATGATGATTGTTTCTGTTCAGATATTTCATTGTATTTCTTTCAGTTTGTAAACTTCATTTCTCCTAGTTAAGCATATTACATAATTGGATATATTAACAGTTGAATTTTACCTAGATTTTTCTTTGGTTCTGTAACTTCTGCATATGTTCTTTTCAGTGTATTTAAGGTAAAGATGAGAAAATTTCTTATGTTCTGCTATGTAGTAAAATGTGCTTTCTGATTAAAAAGAATTAAAATGGTTAAAATGAATTTAGAAAAATAATTTTCAACCTTTATGTTTGCTTTTGATAATTTGTGTGAATCCAGAGTCTGAAAACACAATAATTTCCACATAGTACATGTTCAAATAGTTCTTCTTTTTTTTGACAGATTTGTCCACTTTATTCTTCTTGTATAAAAATGCTATGTTGTGACTACTGCTGGAGTTTGAAATCCTCTGTACAGAGACTGTGGAAGGGGTTTTTACAAGATGGTCAGTGAATTCCTGGTAGGGAAACTTAGTGAACACAGTCTCTTTCCAGAGGTCAGGGATCAGGTAGCTGTAGGTTTTGGAGATGGCATCAAAGATGGCCTTGGTGAAGTTAACCCAGAGTGGCAGTGCGGTCCCTGGCAGAGGTGTAGTCATCAGCACTGTGCCAGCCATCAGCAGCTGCTTCTTGGGCACAGCGACTGAGATGACACCAGTACCTCAGACGGTAGGGTCAGATGCACTAATAGAGAACCACAGCAGCCTGTCACCTTACAAGGGACAGTGGGGCTAGCTGATCTCGTTCTCTTGTGGCTTCTCCGCACAGGGACAATGAGGAGCTTGGCCAGGATGACAGCTCCTCAAATGGCAGTAGCTAACTCCTTGGAGCACTTTACATCCAGACCAGTATGACCATTGTAGTCTCCAGTGGAGACAAATGCCTTAAACCTGGTCCACTGGCCAGAAAGAGTTTGTTTCTGCACCGGCATGATCTTCAGAACATCATCCTTAGGGGTGTGCCCAGGAAAAAGTCAATAATCTCAGACTCCTTGATGGTCAAGGAGAAGAGATACATTTCTTCCAGGGGCTTGATCTTCATCTCCTTGACCAGCAGGCCCAGCTTGGTGATAGGAATCTATTCCTTTTCCTGGGGCCCTTGCTGCACTGGCCTCATCCACCATTTGGTGTTTTCCAGAGGAAGAAGCCAGATACATTTTTTAAACATAGAGGAAAATCTTGTCTTGAGCTCAAAAGCTTTACCTAGTACTTGAAAGAATTTAAACCAAGTGAAAAAGAATCAGATTTTAGGGAAAGGAGAATTTACAGGAAAATATGAAGTGCATAATTTATAGTATTATGATGCTTCTGGCTTTTTAACACTTGTGGCAGGCATTTCATATTTAGTGATACAAGGGTAGGAAATGCTGGAGAAAATTTTGGCCGACAATACAATATATTTGCAAATTTATTAAAAGGATTTAGCAAAACTAGATTTTTGGGAATGGTTATTACTTATTAGTTATTTAAATTGTATTGATTATCATTATATTCTTGGGTAGAAGTGGAGTTCCATTATGAAAAATATATAATTTGTTATGAAGAGATAAAATTGTTTTTTTCAAATCTGTCTCTGTTCTTCAGATTCTCTAGATTTTTCTGTTTGACTGTTTTAATGACACATTTTTGCATACTTTGAATAACATTAAAGACTTGTATTTTGTATCATTTTATTTATAATTTATATGAACTTGAAACAGTTTAGCATAAAGGGTTTTTTTTTAAGGTTCGGCAGGAATTATTAGAAGAATATGAACAAGTTAAAAGTATAGTCAGCACTTTAGAAAGTTTTAAAATTGACAAGCCTCCAGATTTCCCTGTATCTTGTCAAGAAGAACCATTTAGAGATCCTGCTGTTTGGCCGCCACCTGTTCCTGCAGAACACAGGTAAGTGGGACTTCATATTCTCTTACTTCTAGGTAATTGGTTCTCAGAGTAAAGCTTTATTTGATCAAAATATGAAAAAGTATTTTTGGAGGATGTACAAATTGAATGTCTTGTTTATAATTTTCACACCTTACATATTCAGTTTGTATTTGATAAAAAGCAGAAGTAAATCACTTGTCATATCTTGCTTTTAGAATGCTTTACAACTGGAATATTAATAGATGTTCTAAAAGTTATCAGTTAAGTAAAGTCTTTTAGGTTCCATGTATCAGCATTAAAACTTAGATAGTTTTTTTTTTGTTTGCTTAAGGAGATTAACAACTTGAAATGAAATAAATGGTGGAGAAATGAAATTCACTGGCTTGAACCTGCAGTGTTAGTGTAAAAGGAACTTCACCAACAGTGTTTTAAGTGGCTTATCATTACTTAAAGGTCAAATTTCTTAGGCTCCTATCTCTGACACCCAGCCTGTGCATCATCTACATTAAACCTGTCTCTTCTTTGGTTTTTTTGTTTGTTTGTTTTTGTTTTTGTTTTGGTACCGGGGATCGAACTCGGGACCTTGCGCTTGCAAGGCAGGCGCCGGAACCACTTAGCTAAATCCCCGGCCCCCTCTTCTTGTTCTTTCTTGTTTTCTTGTACACTCACAGTGTGTCCTTTCTCTGAGGAGTACCTATTATCCCTATCTCTCAGCAACTCATTCTTCAAGTCTGTGCTCAACTGATTGCCTTTGGAACCTTTTTCAATTTGCAGAAGCATTTATTTTGTTCAAAGCAGTTATCGCATTGCATTTATTTTGTATCTCTACAAGATTAGAAACATAGTTTTATTTACTCAACAAAAACCAAATAACAAACTTTCATTGCTAACACAGAGTTTGGTGCATAGTAGGTATTCAGTTAACTGAATGAATATTTCCTTTAACTTTACAAGTGAGAAGCTTGAGGCCTGGGATACCGTGTGTCTTAGTTACTTTTCTAACTAAAAGTTATTTTTTAAAACTATTTTCAAAATACCTGATACACAAAGTTAAAGGAAGAAAGGTTTATTTATCTTACAGTTTCAGTTCATAGTTGGCAGGGTCCAAGGCAGGGTAGCATAGTAGAGGGGTATCACAGAGGAGAAACAGTTCTTGGTGAAGCAAGGCAGGCAGAAGTCAACAAGGCAGCAAGGTACCAGCAGCAAGTAACAAGTAACCACCCTAGCCCTCTTTCCATCCCTTATATTTTATCTGGACTACTCACCCTTGGGTAGCACTCACATCTATGATGGGGCACTCTTAATTCTATCCAGAAGTATGCCAAACTAATCAGTGGACTAATTTAATAATCACACACCCTTAATCCCAGCATCACACACTCTAGATGTAGCCACCTCTAAAAAAGCCCCACCTATGACCACATGAACCTTTAGGGGGTTACATCTAGACACAAGCCACAACACCCTGGCTTGTAAATTTTGCTATATCTCTGTTCAGGTCTTTCTGACTTTCTGCATGCTTTATTGTGAAGTGGTATTGTGGCCAAAGTGTTGCACCATAGGAAGTAAGTTCCTTTGGTCAGTAACTGTGATCATTTATTTAACTGGTCTTTTGAAGTTTTCTAAAAACATTTGAAGGACTGTGAAAAGTGGTTAATTTATTCTTCCAGGATTTTTTTCAGTGAGTTACAGATAATTTTGTTTCTCTGGTAAAAACACTAGCTGAGACTTCTTTTTTAGGACAGTGTAGTTGTTTTCTTCTGATGTATCCACCTTCAGGTGTTTTGGAGAGGGTAACCTTGATCCCTCAAAAAGGCCCTGTCTCATGAGTGATTGGGTTATTACAATGGAAGTTCCAAAGTAAATACTGGAAAAAGAAATAATGACATTATCGTCTATTAGAATGTGAAATTTTTCTCTGTATATAATGAAATGTCTTTTTTTGAAAGTCAGTGTTTCTGAAGTGTACTTTCAGTTTCAAGCTTAAAGCTGATAATAAATTCAAATATGGGTATAGTAACTAATTGAACAAAGAAATTATACAAAAATGATGGATAACATTTTCCCATTCATGAGTACTAAACTGGAAACTTGTCATTAGAAAAATACTAGCATTATTTCTTCCTTTTCTTTGTTCTTTCTTACCTGCCCATAATATAGATTTGATTTATATACTCATGTATATATATTGTAGTACAAATGGAAAGATGAATGGGCTACAATGTATTTCTCCAAACTTTCTTTCTCCATACTAAAATTTTAAAAGTTTCTGTTATGCATAGCTGTTGTGTGTGTGAATCAGAAACTTAACAAAAGCAAATCTAATGCTGTATGTAATACCCAACGACTCTAGGAGCTTTTACAAGACAAGGAATTATATTTAATATGTGAAGAATAATATGGGAATAGTACCTTCAGACTTCATGAATAAACTGTGTATATAGCAGAACTGGTCTCATCAGTTAATAATGTTAGTGACATAAGTAAGGCAAATGATAATGAAGTAAACTTTATACTGGTTTGTGGCTAGAAATGTGTGCAAGCGCTGATAAGTATATGTTACAAGTCTGAAAATTAGGTTAAAAGTTACGGGAAATTACGAGTTGTATAATATTTTCACCTTTTACAAATTTGTTTGTTCTTCAGATCACTTAAAGCAAATATGGTGAAATTTTCACTACAGGTAATGAGTAGTGGCCATAATCCTTAAAAAGAAAAGATACTTGGTTTAAGTTCATGAAGTCTGACTTTGAATCCTGGTTTTGATGCCTACTTGCTTTATAACCTTAATTTAACTTCTCTGGACATTAATTTCATCGTCTGCAAAATGGGATCTCTATGTCATAGGATTAAAAAAGAGAATTTCATGTGTAAGATAAAAATAGCATGTAATAATTAAAATTAATTGTCAACTCTGATATAAAGTACTACAGTATTCCTTAACCTAAATAGCAAGAAACAGTTTTATTTATTTATTAGCTTTTATTTTTATTAATACATGTTTGGAGTAAAGATTACACTTTTCATGGGGACAAGGTTTATATACATCAAATATCTTAATTCTTTTTATGTTACCTTTGTTCTACTCCCTTCCCCCTTCATCTCTTGGGCCCTTCTCTTTTGCAAAAAAGATCCCTTTTGCAAAAACAGGTCCCTTTTTCTCTTTCCTATTATCTATCTTTAATTTTGCTGTATAATTTATTTACACTTTGGATTTCTCATGTAAGACAAACCATGTGATATTTAAGGTATTGTGTATGATTTATTACAGTTCACATTAAGGTCTCAACGTACATTCATTTTTCTACAAATGACTCAAGTTTTATTCTCCTTTATAGTGGAGTAGTACTCAACTTTGCGTAAATACCAAATTTTCTTTATCCATTCATCTTTTTATGGACATACAGACTTCTTCCAAGATTTTGATATTAGGAATTATGGTGCTATAAACATGGGTATGCATGTATCGCTGTAATATGATATCTTTAACTCTTTTAGGAAGATAACGAGGAGGGGAATATCTGGGTCAAATGGAATTTTTAATTTTAGATTTTTGAGGAATCTCCATACTGATTTCCATAGTGATTATATTAGCTTACATTCCAACCAACATCTCTTTTATGGCCAGCAATGTTAAACACTTTTTAAATGTACTTATTGGCTATTTGTATTGCTTCTTCTGAGAAGTGTCTGTTCATTTCAGTTGCCCATTTTTTGATTTTTGTCTTTTAGTTTTTGGGAGGGGAATCTACTTTTTTTTAGTTCTTTATATCTTCTCGATATTAGTCCTCTACTTGAGGGTTAGCTGACAAAATTTTTCCCCCATTCTGTAGGCTTTCTCTTCACTGTTGGTTGTTTTCTTTGCTGTGCGAAAGCTTTTTAATTTGATATAGTCTCATTTATTGATTCTTGATATTAATTTTTTCACGTTTAAGGACTTGTTCAGAAAGTTTTTTTGCCTATGTCTTCAAGAATTTTACCTCTTTTTCTTCCGGCAGCTTAAAGAGTTTCTGTTTTAATATTTATATCTTTGATCCATTTTGATTTTAGTTTCGTATGTGGTTAGAGATAGAAGTCTAGATTCAATCTTCTTCATGTGGATAGCCAGTTTTTCTCATTTGTTAGAGCCTACCTTTCTCCAGTGTGTTTTGGCCCCTTTGTCAAAGATTATATAGTTGAATGTGCCTGGAGTTGTTTCTGTGTCCTCTGTTCTGTTTCATTCATCTACATGTTTGTTTTTATGCCAGTATCATGCTGTTTTTATCACTGTAGCTTTGTAATAATATAAGTCGAAATCCAGGATTGTGATGTCTCCTGGTTTGCTTTTGTTGCCTAGGTTTACTTTGCTATGTATTTTAGGATTGTTTTCTCTTTTTTTGTGAGGACTTCTGTTGGTATTTTGATTGAGATTGCATTAAACCTGTATATCAGCTTTGGAAGTATGACCATTTGACAATATTAGTTCTGCCTATCCAGGAACAAGAGATATCTTTCTGTGATAGTTCATTGATTGTGCTAACTTGAGTAAGAAGCACCCAACTAAATTGGATCAGCATAGTTCTGAGTGTAGCTGAGGAGACAGAAGACCCACCTTAGGGCAGCTTGTTGCCTGAATGTATAAAGGGGAAATGAAGAAGGAAGGCTTGTTTCTATTTCTTTGGAGGAGCTCCAGTCCTTGCTTTCACCTTGCATTAAATCTGTTTCTCTAGAAAGCACTGATACAGGTTTTGGTACCAAAAGTGAGGTTGTGCTATGAATGTACCTGTCGTTGTGGTTTAGGAGCTGTTGGAATTGGCTTGTGGGAAGAATTCGGAAAGGTTTGGAGATGCTGGCTGAAAAAGCGGCCTTGGGATGCTTTAAGCTGTTACTTGATGGAAGATTCTGGTCAGAGCTCAGAAGACCAGAATGCTCATAGAAATGCAGCATGGTAAAGACGGCGCTCAGGAGATTTCTTTTGGGAGACAGACTGTGTTGGCTGTTTGCCTCCAGATCATGTGGTTATGCTTTGACTGAAAATTTGT